GCAACGATGAACCAACATACTGTGCGGACAGCGCAATCGTGGCACCGTTGGGGAACCAACAGCAAGGTGACAAATACGACAAAGCCGTGGAACCGGCATGCTGACGTTGACACACAACTTGGCGCGCAGGTCGCACACATCCGGAACTGTTGATGTTGCGGAGAGACTCGCTTGACAGCCGACTCGCAAGTTTGTGTTCGGGCATGGAGGACGCACAGGTAAGTCACATTTGCAAAGAAGCTTGGACAAATATCATTGATGCGAAAATGCCTTCTTTTAATCCACGTGGGTAAACGCGATCGTGTTAGTGCAGGTTCTTGCCGGTTTGATGTAGCAGCAAAATGATTATAATGTCACCTGTTTGCATGAGCAAGGTGTTTTTTTTCTTCGCGCTGGCGGCGAACCCGCAAGCAGCCGCGAATGACAACATGGTGTGGTGGCAGCGGCGCGACCGCATCAGCTCATGGCAGGTGCGCTCCGTGGCGTTGCGCGCACCACCTAGTGCTGCCTATTGCTGAGTCAGCCGTGATGCCACGCAGTCTTTGGGGATCTGCTTGGGATGACAAAGGGGGAGCCCGTTTCATGGCGACAACAACATGTTGCTGCGGTGAGCGGCAGGGACAGCCGAAGCTGGCGCAGCAAAAGGGCCGGGCAGTGCGACGAGTCGAATGCAATTTTGTTGGCGGATTGTTGGCCGGTGGTAGCGCCTGCTGCACGGCGACGGAAAGTATGCTCCGCCATCCTCGCGTCTACCCCGAAGCAGCAGCAGCAGCAGCAGCTCGCCGCGCCGGCGGCATTCTGCACGCTGGCACGCGGACAAGGTCCCGGAGCATCTAACAAAAAAACAGCGCGCGTCGTTTCTTCAAAATATAGCCTGTACAAACTAGCTTGGCTTCGTTTTTAGTTTCTCGGCGACGGAGCCTGACGTGGTACTCAGCATGCGGCACGGGAGATCACGCGAGTCTGCGGGGTCAGCGGGGAGCGCAACGAACGCGCAGCTCGCAGCCGCGCCGCCCTGTGACAGCAAGCAGCGCTAGACACGCAGGGTCGAGATTTGCAAAGAGCGTCTCCAGCGAGCGCGCAAAGTGCGGCCATCCGGGCCTGCCTAGGCCTCCCTCCGGGTCCGGTCTGCCGCACGGCGTTTTGGCGTTGCGCTGCGCTGCGCGTGTGGACGGGGGGCATGCGGGCCCGCCGACATCGAGCAATGGACGGACGAGAGCAGCCAATGTGCCGGGGTGGTGCCCAGTACGCTGCGTGGCGTTGTTGCACCGCGGACCCAAACCCGAGACCGCCCATTCGCATGGGCAACTGGGCGCTGCGTGATGCGAGCACTCGCATCACGCACGGCACCGCGGAGGCAGCAGTGCAGGGACGCGCAGGCTGTCCTCCGTCGTCGCGCGGAGCGGGCTGCATTGGCCCATCTAGGTGAGCTTTCCGCGGACGCTAACACGCTGGCCCCCCCTTGCTGGCGCCACCCCGACACGCTGGCCGCTCTGCAGGATCCAATCCGTCGGCCGCCTGAAAGCCCGAAACCCCCATCGACGCCACCATCCTGGCTCCACGTGTGCACCGGATTTTGAGTTGAGTGAGGATCTGTTCCGTTCCTCACCAACGTATGTCGAACACGTTGGGGGGCGGCATCTGGGCCATCGGGATGCGCGGGTGCATTTGCGGGTTTTGCAAAAAGAGGAGGATGGTGCCCGTAAACTCGTTGCCGCCCAAGTCGGCGAAGCCATCATTCCAGCCATCCGCTTGCGTAGCTAAAAGGCGGCGTTTGCGCGCTGGTCATGGGCGACGTGTTCCGACGCGTAGTGACCCGAACGCTCGCGATTCGGCGAGCGGAGGCGATGGTTGCAGAATGTTCCATCGCAGAGGTGAACAAGCCTGCGTTGCACCGGGGATGAGCCTGGATGCAACAGGGTGTCCTTGTTCCTTGCACGTTGCGAACCGTACTTCGTCGTGCAGGTTCGGTCAGCTCTCAAAAGTGTCCTTCGGTCATAGCGGATTGCACCCAGAAGGCGATGCGAGGACGACTGTGGACGGCGTCCACATCTCCAGGCAGAGCGTATCAAAGCGTGCTCTGCTGCTCGATGCCTTCCTCTATGATATCTACATCACGGGGCAGCTCCGGAGTCCCTCGCGCAGCACGCCCGTACACAGGTGCACCGCGGCATGACCCGTGCTTGGAACGGCGCGGGCGAAGAACCCTGGGGCTGCTGGCGTTGTTGCCGGGTGCTGGGCGATCCTTGAGCGGCCGTGCCTTCATCACCACCAGGTTGCAGCAGCGCTTGCAGGAGCAGGCGCCCGCTGAGTCGGATCCCATCGGTGCCCCATCTGCAAAGTGCACGGTCCGATAACCACGAGTTACGTGCAGGCACCAGCATCTCCGTAGGCGTGAATCCCGCGGCATCATCCAGCACAGTGGTTGCCATGGCGCAAGCCAGCTCCGGTCGGTCAGGCTTTCGTCGCGACGCGAGCGGGTGTCGCGCAGTGCCGCCGAAGCAGGCGCATTTGGTCCAGGGCGTGCAGCGCGTGCTCGCGTCGTGTAGCAGGCCATATCATCGTGTTGAAGCGAGGCTTATGCGCCCTTCATGTTTTGGTGACCCCTTGACCATGGTCCGCATGGTCCCCTGCGACCCCCTTGACTACAAAGAGTGGAAAGGAAGAAAATGGCAAGTTTGGGTGCAGGAATCCACTGCGTTGATTATTAGCACAGGTCCACTTGTCCTTGGTGGGGGCCGAGAAGGCTTGTGTGCGGCCGAATTCGGTGCCCTCGGGCACCGACGTGCGTGCGTTGCGCCCTCCTTTCCACAGATTGCCATGGGGCGGGTCATTTTGGGAGCATGGGGCGATGCCGCTGTGTGCAAGACACGACAAAGCAGTTCCGAGGGCATTTGTCCCGGAGCTCGCTTTCGTCGCCGCAGCTACACCGCGCAGAGTCAATAAAATCTCTTCCACTGCGGTAGTCCATGCCGGGGGGTGCGCCCGAAGCCCCTGGCACGCAGTTTGCCAAGCCCAGCATGCGGCTACCATCAGGCATGCCCGTGGCTAGCCCAGGTCCTCTCAGGCATTCCAAACAGATGGCAGGTTTGCTTTGCCTTAGGACCCGAATACTTCCGGTTTGTATCGAAGCATCGTTTCTCTGTTTGTGTTGGTTTTGGTCTATTTTTTTTTTGCGTTGGCCTATTTTCAGGAAAAAATTGTATGTATCGGAGATGATGCTTGAATCGGAATCCTTCAGCACAGGTCGTGGTGTGTTCTCCCTTCAGAACTTTTTTGAGGCTGTGCAACCCTTCAAATTATGTTGATAGATGGATTGCAAAGTGTGATGTATGCATATTGCTCGGACATTCAAGAACTTTCGTGAGCAAACAAGCGTTGCAAGCTTCAAGAAGCATTTTCAAATGATCGGATTTGCTGCAGCCTCGCCTGCTGTTTCAGGGTGACCCACAGACTCGAAGTGCAGTCGTGCCCTGGCACAAAGCCTGGCAGCATCTTTCATCCGTTTGCTCGCCCGCTGCCGTGCCCGGGCTGTGGGGCGCTGCCAGCACGTCTGCCATCGCACTCCGTCAGCAATCTTCTCCTTTGCAGCTGCCAGGTCCTTCGCAGCCAGCCTTCTTGCTTTGCCCGTGGCTGGGACCTCCAACCTCGATGGGGCTGCGCCACTCCTCAGTGACATCCTTGCAGACTCGTCCGAGGGTCCTGCCCTTGCCAGCCGCTTGGCGTGAGTCGTCTGCCCGTCCCCCACTCTCGCCTCCCGATCACGCAGGCATCTGCGATGCCACCTGCACTGGGACCGCGATGAACGTTGAGCGAAAAGGCATGCCAGAAAAAAAAACCTGGCCATACTTAAGAAACACTTCGACTGCTCGCCGATGCCCGTGCCGGCGCAGCGCGCGTACGCCTCGTCACTCCTTGAGCTCCCCCTTGCAAGCGCGGAGCAGGGCGAGGGCGACGCGCCTCCCTTGGAGGACCTCTTGGCACAGGCTTGCGAGGCTGAGCAGGTCTCCGACAGCCGCCTCCCCGCGGCCTAGGTGAACGTAGGAGCCCCCCGACCTGGACACCCTCCTGCGCTCGCAAAAAGGCGCGTGTGAAAAACAAACAAAAGTTCCCTACAAAAAAAAGAAGTACCCTACTTGTAAACCAGAACCTCTGCGTTGCTGAAGAGGGCTTGCAGAACGCGCGGAAGCCTCACAAATTTCTGGGATCCTCATGTGGAACCTGCACAAAACACCCGGAAGGCCAGTGATTATCCAAATCATAACAAAATTGCACGCATGTTGCAGCTCATGTATCGACAAGCTATGACAAGCTCAAAAAACCATCTATATTTCTTGTTTTCTGTATTACGCCTTATCCATTAAATCGGCCACACGAACTTCAAGGGCATGTGTCACAACTGAACAATGCCAACTTTGAAAACTGGATATGTTCCTTGAATGGTGTCATCGAGGAAGGGTGTCTTGAGAGAACCGAGGAGCATGTTTTCCAAGCCAAAAAGTTCCATTTCGCGACTTTTCACAGCTACAGAAAGAGGTGTTGCACGGAAACCCTCCAACGCGGATGATCGGTCGATTTGTCTCATATCTCATTTGATTTTGGTTTCATGCTTTCTGCTTTCTGCTTTCAAACTTTTCCAGCTTTTGGAAGGCAAGAGAGAGAAAGCAAGAGAGAGCAAAAGAGACGCTGAAGCTTTGGTATTCAGACAAAGTAGCTGGTTGTTTGTTTTTCCTCGTTCCACGCATAAAGCTTGCAATTCAGCCGTTCGGGGTTGGCTTTGTCGGCCCTTTTGGCCATGGAAAGATGTGGCAATGCGTGCAACCCGCGACTTTGTGGAGAGTGGCCAACTCCTGGACCAGGCCTGATTTTGTCCGCCACATGAGCCACTAAGACCCTCTGATGATTCATTAGTCGAGAAGCAGGGGACAGCTTTGGGAGAAGGGAAAGCAACAGTCTTGCAGCTGTCGCTTTTTTTGTCCGGACAAGCCATCCTCTGCCAGGTTTGTGCCAAGAGCCAAGTTCGAATTGTCTTCGACAAAAATTTCTGGAGAGCCTTGACTCTTTACCTCTCGAGGAGCGAGAACCACTCTGGCTTTATTTTGCGGGCGATTCCACCGGCCGGCAGCTGTGCTCTGCCTTTCTGAAGGACGTGGCGAACATCGACCTTGGCGACTTCCGTGAGTTCAAAAAAGTGACGAGCAAGTGCCCCAAAACCCCACCATATGACCAGCGTTTCAAGAGATTTATCGATGCACATGCAAGGCAAGCTGGTTTAAAGCTGCCAAATTGGGATCATGTGGGGAATCGGGCTTGCGACTGGAATGTAAGCTTGGGCCAAAGACCGGTGCGTGTCACCTTTGACTTTCGCCGCTTTGTCAACGACCTCCCCAATGATTTACATGTGCTGCAGAAGGTGGCAGAGGCAGGAAGATGGCCTACAGCCTGGGTCGTGATTGCTGGTGTGCATGATTGCATGTTTCTCCGACGAAACGTGACGTTTCAGACTTCCGCCATGGAGGCCTTCTTTCGCTTCCTAGAGCAGCACCCCATCTTGAAGAGCCGCACGCTTCTCGTGGGCATGCAGTACATGGTCAAGGACAACGAGATGGAGAAGGAGCACCCCAGGAGACGCCAACGCTTTCACAGTTATTCTCCTTCGAAGTCTTTGTACAACTGTTCGCGGAGACTTCACACCATTATGCTGCAATGGGCCCGTAAACAGGGCGTTTACATGATGCCACGCTGGGAAGTGACACGGAACTATGCCGAGAAAGAAGGCTACGTGCTGCATTATCCTGAATCAATCATTCAAAGCGAATTGCCGTCACTGCTGACTGGTCTCTCTTGCATTGCCAAAAGCAGGCAGCACGGTTTGACCTCCGCTTTGATCACGGCGCCGTCATACAGGGGCCATCTGCTTCTCCTCTACTCCATCATGTCAATTATGTCTGTCGCAGCAGCAGTGTGTGCGCTAGTATTCGTGCAACGTGGGAGGATTTCTTGGTGTGCGAGAGCTTCAAGATGCCAATTTCACTGAACGTGAGGAAGACAGTTAGAAAAGCAGCGCACTGGCAATTGATTTTCTAATGTTTTTTCCTAGGACTGGGGTGCCCACGTGTGGCCATGTGCCATGTTTCACCGTGCCGTAAATTGCCGTCATTGGTGCCAGCGTTTCTTTAATTATTGCCACCGTGCCGTATTTAGGGGCCACTCCACAAACAAGCTAAGTGGGCACCGCCCTCAGAAGTAGGACTGGGACGCAGCACGGTGAAGGCTACAGCAGTTTCCCAAGCTAAGTGGAGTCCAGCCAGAGGCCCGGCAGCAAAAGGCTCCTGCTCGTTTCGGCTTTGGTGGACCGTCTCCGCCACCGCAGATGGATGTGGAGATGGGGCGGGCTGTCTGCAGTGAGTCATCTCATTTTTCGCCGCCTTTGGTTCACCTACCTTAAAAAGCATTATTGTTTTTGCAAGTGTTTCAAGGCACTTTTCCAAAGACGGGTGATTGAAAAGTTCTTCTCACCTACCAACCTTTTCCTTTCGAAGAACCTCGCCGCGAATCCATGAGGTCTGCCCTGGCGCAAAGCAGCCCGGAAACTTGGGTGATTTTCACCGGAACTTATTCGTCACGAAGGGAGCAGCGTCCATTTGAACATAAACATTTGGGGTGGGTGGTTGCTGGGTAAGTTAATTTGCTGGAAGTATTTGCAGGCTCCCCTTCATGCATGGTTTTGGGAACGTTTTGAGCCTCTGGGGGCAATGCTGCTGCAAATGAGTATCACCCTTTGGAATCTTGCCGCCCTTCTTCTGCAGAGAATTGCGCTCTCACCGCCGTTAGTCACGTGAAAAGGTGGCGACTCCCACTGCCTTGTTGGCACACTGAAAACGCGCCTCGAGAGCTCTTGTAGGCAAATTAGTATTTTTTTTACGTAGTAAATACCTCAATCAATATATATATATATATGTATATGTATATGTATATGTATATGTATATGTATATGTATATGTATATGTATATGTATATGTATATGTATATGTATATGTATACGTATACGTATATGTATCTATGTATACATATATGTCTGTAGTAATATAGTTTTCTCAATTGCAGAGTATATGTTGTTCTTGCAGCAAGTAATGCCATTCTGTCAATGATATCCAAAACCTAATTTCCAAAATATGATCAACTATGTATTTAGGTTTCAGAACATGGAGTCACATACATTAGTTTCGGCTTAGTAGGGGTTGAAGCAACAAGGAACCCCTGCCTCTACGAAAACTGGAAAAACCGTGTTTCTATGCCGGCCTCTGTGCAGATGGCGAGGGAACAATGGCGGGAGCACGGATCTTTGGTGCTCCAAAACGATGGCCATCGAAGTGTGGCTTTCTGGCCTCACTGGTTGGGTGTGGCATGGCACTGAACGAAACTGGGACTAAAACATTCGGTGAAGAAGTCTTCGGTTTTTTTTCTCCTGGGTGGAGAAGCTTACAGAGGTGTGAATGAAGTTAGAGATAGGAAGTGCCAGGAGGGTTACAAAAAGTCATGAGGAGGTTCAGGAGCATAAGGAGATTGAAAGGCATAAAAGGGGCTTGGAGTGAGAAAAGTCCTAGAGATCTCAAAAAGACTAGAGTATTTCTTGTTTTGATTGAGTATGTTTTTGAGTAGTGTAACTTATTTAGATATCGTTACAAACTATCTACACTTAATCATCTACCAAGTATTGGTGTCACTCGACCCAGGTAGCGACGCAGCTCTGCAACAGCGAGCTGGGGCCCAAGAGCAGTTGCAGCTTCGAGGGGTTGAGCCTGAAGAAGGCCGCTTTACAAGCTCCCTGAAAGCAGTTTCAGCTCAAAATGCAGTATGTGCAGGGTATGCATCACCCTCGTCATCGTGCAGTTTCCTACCTATGTGGAATTTTTATGTGCAAGCCGTTACTTGCAAGCTGCATGCAAATCCCTCCGTGTGTCGTATTCTCGTCACACTGTCGCTGGCTCAAGAAAATGTAGGTTCAGTGATGGTATGCGTGTGGGTGTGCATCGAAGCTATAAGGGTGCACGAAGTTTTTTTTGTTTTTGCATGGTGTCATGGCTTTGCTCTTCGACGATGATGACTTACCGGCACGGGAGAGGCCCGAGTTTCTGTTGTCATCTCTCGTGCGCACACACTCCTTACCGCACACTGGAGCATAGTAACTGTCAGCTGCAAGGGATGCCTTCGCAGTCATCTACGTCGTCGGCAGCTGAGTGTGAGTTGTGCCGTTACGCAGTGCAGATTTGCAGAGGCAGATGGGCCACCGGCCTTCCAGGCATTCTAGTCTCAATTCTGTACGAAAGAGTGTCAGAGAGCGTTCTGTTTTTTCTTTTACATGCTTAGAGCCACGTCTCCGTCACAAGGACGTGAGCATCCCAGCGCTGCACCAGCGCTCAAGGTGGGATGGCACGTGCCGCGCCTGCTGTTGCAGCCATCCTGCGGCTCTGTGTGATTCTGTGTGATTCTGTGTGATTCTGTGTGATTCTGTGTGATTCTGTGTGATTCTGTGTGATTCTGTGTGATTCTGTGTGATTCTGTGTGATTCTGTGTGATTCTGTGTGATTCTGTGTGATTCTGTGTGATTCTGTGTGATTCTGTGTGATTCTGTGTGATTCTGTGTGATTCTGTGTGATTCTGTGTGATTCTGTGTGATTCTGTGTGATTCTGTGTGATTCTGTGTGATTCCCCTCCACATGCGCCCCTCCACAGCCCCACAGATGTTCAACGCGTTGGCCAAGATGGAGGAGACCTTGTTTGAAGAGCTGGGTTCCGACGTGGCGTCGGTGGCAAGCGTGGCCCTTAGCGTGTAGCAGGGGCGAGTGTGAAAACCAATGCATGCAGAAGCTAGACGAAGTTAAATCGCCGTCAAATGGTTGGGCGACGCACTTTTTGTGCACCTACCAACGCCGTGTCGAGTCAGAAGACAAACGCTTTGATCTTTTACATTGCATCATTGTTCAACCGTTTCCTGAAACATCTTATCATTCGATGAGGCAATTTTTATCATGATAATTTGTTTTTTTTTGCCAAATTTCTGATATGAAAAGATTCTGAGAGAGCTTGTTTTTCGCGAGGTTCGTGTTGGCTCCGAATACAGAGATAGAAATTCTATCAGAATCCTTTGAAGGCGCTGTAGTTGTTTGTTATCCTTTGAGAAGCATGTGACAGCGTTTGCAAGGTGCCGACTACGAGAGGGAGTTCTCCACGATGCGCGAGACGGCCGTGGCAAGCTGCAAGGAGTGGCAGAGCTTCGTGGACGACTGGAAGGGCAGTCTGCTCACGAGGCATTTTGTTTCGGGCGCTGTGCTGGCAAAATTTTCGCCATCTCGAGCCTGTGTCTTCGAAGTTGTGTTGCGTGCCACATGTTGGAGAGCCCTCGGAGGCTTGAGGACGTAGGCAACGAGCTCGAGGCAGCAAGGGCGCGTGAGGCCAACTTGAAGCATCAGCTCGATGAGAAGGACTTCCACAAAACGAGAAGATCTCCTTTGCCTGTGTTGTATCTATTTGACATGCAGGATGGACGAATAGCAGCGCTTCTCAGAGAGAGTCGTGCGCTGAAATGCCAGCTGAAGAAGGCAAGTGCCAGGCCCAAGGGAAAGAGTCGGTAAGTTTGAAGTTTGAGTGATTCACAATGCCCTTCAAAGCTATTCGCAGCACCTGTCGATGCAGGAAGATGTCGGCCGAGGCCCCGCAAGGTGCATCCCTTGCCTTTTAGTGCAGCCACAAAAAAGGCTCGAACTTTCTTGCGCGAGCCTCTCAGGGCTCATCCCCCATCTACAAGAAGCGATCCATGATAAAGGTGCGGTGGATCAAAGCTTATACTGTCGGTCAGGGCAGTCCGGCGTGGCGGGCTTCTTCTCAAAGCTTACCCGGCGTGACTCCAAGGAGAGTCTGGCATTGGTGGCATTGGTGGCCTCGTAGTGGAGGGTAACGATGCTCGGGATTTCTTGGGATCTTTGCATGCACGTGCTCTGCAGGTGTTTACGTTGATGCCGCTGGACTCCTCAGTACAGTGCCAGGAGTCTATGCAGGCTTTTCAGTCGGAGGCGGCAGACGAGGAGATTCCGCACGTATAGGCTCTTAGATGCTTTCCATCAAGCACTTGCTTGTGCGTGATGACCCTAGGACCACGGCGCCAACAAGCGCTTCTCCTTGTCCGACACAGTTTCTTGGCATTTGGGCGATCAGTTGCTGGCTTGATACGTGGGTGTGTCTTCGTGCCACCTGGGCTCTCGAGGTAAAGGCAGGCATCAGCTCCATCGCTATGCTCACGAGAGCGAACAGCACGGAAGTGCAACTGAGCTGAACACGGGTTTGAGTTACAGCTCCACGGATCCTTTGATAGTGACAAAAAAGAAGTGCAGAGGAGGAAGGCCCTGATTCCATATCCAGTTCGGTAGTCATGAGGCACAAGGCGCCAAGCAGCACTGGATCTCGGTTTCCCTGGCTTCGCCGTTGACCTGCGGTAGGTTGGGTTTCGCCGTTGGCGGGCGGTAAGCTTGAGTTTCCCGGTTGACGGCGTTAGGTTGGGCTTCGCCGGTGATTCGCGGATACCTGCACCCTCACTGACTTTGTTAGCTTGCGCCTGAACTGGCCTGAAGCTGATCAGCTGACGCCTGCAAGAACGCCTGGAGGGCAGCGCTCCTGCGTCTGCCCATGTGAGCCGCCAAGAGTATCTCCTTCAAGCGCCGAACTTTGCAGCTCATTTGTTGTAGGTCGGTGTGGAGCCTTGTGGAGCCTTGTGGGGCCTTGTGGCGTTCAAGTCCTCTTTTTGGCTTTGGTGGAGCAAATGTCTACGTTACGCGACACCCCATCTCAGCACATCTACGACGTCCGCAGGCCTCGTGCGATTCTCTTTCCCATGCTGGCTCCCGTATCTTAGTCTAGATATGCTGTGCGTCGAAGAGTTCCCCAGAGACTCCCAAGGCCCTGAAGCCTCACTTGGTGTCGTGGCAAGTGTTTTGCAGAATCTCGCACATTGCAGCGCTGCACCTCCACCAGGCTCAAGCC